TGTACTTTTTCGAGACTTCCAAAGTGAATCAATAAATAGGTACTTTCAAGTTTTCAATAATTATTTTTACGCATACCATAAGTTTTCAATAATTAGTTTTACGCATACCAATGTGTTGATACACATGCATGTGACAATTAGGTTCCATAATAGGAATAGGAAGATAGGAAACTTAGATTTCGAACGACATAAATATTAATTACTGTTTAAAATAATTTTTATTATAGTAAAATAACAATAATAAAGTTATTCAATTTCTTAAAAAGCATAACATATAAAATGATAATAACCAAAAACGAACAAAGAGAATATGAGACATTATTTCGTTGGTAAAATAATTAATTAATACGAACAAATAAAAATAAAGCAAAATAAAGAAGTACGAAGACAACAAAAATCAGAAAAGATATGGACAAAACAAAATAAAATGGGTGATTGTTCGATTAAAATCTTGGAGTAGATATGAAAACTACATAAAAGATTTATTTAATGGAAACCTAGTTGTCATAACCATTTTTTAATTTAGGTAGTCTAGTTGTAATTTATAATGATGCGAAGTGCCTACTATTATGTGCGCATATTTAAATTCCCCATTTGGATTTCGATTCATAACATAAAATAAAACTAATTTGCATAATCTAGCAATAATGAACGGCAACCTGATGGAATCGGTAAGATCGGCAGTTCTGAAAGAATCTTCGGAAGATCTAGAAGGTTCTTGCACTAAAATTGTGGGCTACGACTTCAATAAAGGCGTTAACTATTCTGAGCTTATCAAATCCATGATTTCCACTGGTTTCCAAGCTTCTAATCTTGGTGACGCCATTGACATTGTTAATCAAATGGTTAGATTTCACTTTTTTTTTAAGATTGAAGTTAGATTCCACAAGCTTGAAATTCGTGTTTTTGAAGCTAAATTGGAGGCTTTCACACGAGGTGCCCACGGAGGATTGCAGCGCAAGAGAAAGAGATATTGCATATAGAGAGTCGATAACGTGCAAAATATTTTTGGGGTTCACTTCAAACCTTGTTTCTTCTGGTGTTAGAGAGACCATTCGTTACCTTGTTCAGCACCGTATGGTCAGTACCATTTCCATTACTTTATGTCTCTATTACCGTCAAGTTTGAACCTTAGTGTTCCCTCCCTACAGGTTGACGTTTTGGTTACTACAGCTGGTGGTATTGAAGAGGATCTCATAAAATGCCTCGCACCGACTTATAAGGGGGACTTTGCTTTACCTGGAGCTGCTCTACGGTCCAAAGCATTGAACCGTATTGGTAATTTATTGGTTCCAAATGATAACTACTGCAAATTTGAGGATTGGATCATGCCAATTTTTGACCAAATGTATGACGAGCAGACTAATCAGGTACCTATCTAGTACTCTTGGCTCATTAATTAATTGCGTTTCTGTGTGTCATTATTTAGCTTCTTTTTGTGTTACAGAACGTTCTATGGACACCATCTAAAGTGATTGCTCGACTTGGCAAAGAGATTAATGATGAAACCTCATACTTGTATTGGGCTTACAAGGTTTGTTATTAGTGCTTATTTAATTTGATTCTGAGTTTATAAACTAATGTGTATTTATCATTCTCAGCACGGAATTCCTGTCTTCTGCCCTAGCTTGACGGATGGATCAATAGGTGACATGCTATATTTTCATTCTTACCAAAAGGGAGACCAAGATCGTAATCCTGGTCTAGTGTTAGACATTGTTGGAGGTATCATATCACTATCTTATCGATCGATCAAGTGATTCTAATTCTTTCATCATGAATTTGTTTGACAATAAAGAATTATATAACCAGATGTGAGGGCAATGGATAATGAAGCTGTCCATGCTGGTTTGAGGAAGACAGGAATAATTATCTTGGGCGGAGGACTGCCTAAGCACCATATTTGCAATGCAAATATGATGCGCAATGGTGCAGATTTTGCTGTCTTAATTAACACTGCACAGGAGTATGATGGTAGTGACTCCGGTGCCCGTCCTGATGAAGCCGTATCATGGGGGAAGATACGTGTTGGTGCAAAGAGCGCAAAGGTTAACAACTTATAACCCTCTAACTAATATATATTTATAGGATGTGAGATTCTAATTTTCTTGTACTGTTTTCGATTTGTTGAATGCAGGTGCATTGTGATGCAACCATTGCATTTCCCATATTAGTAGCTGAGACATTTGCTGCTAAGCGTAAGAATCTCTGCCAGAACGGTGCCAAGTTTGAACATTAAGGAAGTTGTCCTTCCAATTTAATTACTTTTCAAGTCATCTTTGTTCGTGTGCAGATCAATAATTGAGGAGGATTTGTTAATGTTCAAATAAATTATCCTCCCTCCCCCTCCTCACACTTTGTTATTTCGGGAGGGAGCCATATTTAGCTTCTCTCTGGTCTTTAGTGGAGAGCGTTGATGTTTATGTGTTTGTATCCTATTGTTAATTGTATTAATGATTTATTAGTTCTTGAAATTGATTTTTACTGTGTATTTTATCTTCTTAGTAACTTCTTTTTTAGCTAAATTCTAATGACACACGGGAAAAATGCACAAGTAACCCGTTCAATCTATGCCCGAAATTCCAAGTACACACTTATACTATATTAAGTTTCTATTACCCTCTTGAACTTATTTTATAAGTAACTTTATACCCCTTTTTGACCTACGTGACACTAACTTGAAATAAAAAAGTCAATTAACAGTGGGTCAATAAGATACTGTTATGTAGGCCGAAAAAGAGTAGAAAATTATTAATAAAATAAATTCAAGGATAATAGGATCTTAGTATAGTATACGTGTGTCTCTAAGATTTTTGGCATAAATTGAGGGGTACTTGTATATTATTACATGACACATTTGTTAGGTAAAAAGTTATTCATATTTATATCAAATCACTAAATATATAATTTAATATATATCATAAATTTATTATGAGATTTTAAAGGTTGAAAATTTAATACTAATACTTATCAAATACATGTCATACATTTACACTGATTTACTGATTTGATATAAACACTCGTGAAGTTAAAGTGTTATCGATTTAACTTATCCAAATATGAATAATGCAAATATTAATTATGAGTAAATTTGATTTATGCATTACTTTATTGTAGTTTTAGTTATGAAGGATTCAATTAGTCATATAATATTAGTTGCTTAATAACTTAAACATATATTAATTATATCAATTTTTAAATTACAAATAAAATAAAATATTATATTAATTTAATATATAAATAATTTACCTTCTAATTATGAAGACTATAAAACGTCGATCAGAGAGCAGGATTGTTCTAAGATATAAAAATAGTTAAGGAATTAACTAACAGAGTATAATATCAATTAGGCAAAATATTTAATAGTTACATAAATCATCTTCGATTTAGTGTTTTTCTTTAGAAGGTACTCGTTGGTTTTGGAAATTGTGTGGTGGGGTTTGCGAAAGTGGCCCCTCATATATCTATAATTTCAGGCAGACGAATTCATGCAGAAATTTTGGATAGCAACAATCTCATAGCCACTCTTTCTCAAATTGGTCTGTATTTCTAATTTTAGTATCGAAATTAGTTGATCTATATATAACTAATAATAATTAGACTTTTTGGAATTGGAAAAGTTAGCATATAAGTAAAGATATACTAGTTAATTATTTAAGATAATTTTAATTTACCTTAATTATTATTTTTGACATACTTTTAGTTATAATTAAACAACTCAATTTTTTACCTTTTTATAATTCGCACGATTTTATAATTCAGAATTTATAGAATATAATTTTTTTTAACTTTTGTGTAATTGAAAATTTATATAACTATTTACCCTGGTATTTTTGTAGAAATTCGTTATTTTGAATTTATTTAAAAATAATTGAATTATACAAATGTACACGTAAATTAAAGAAAGTTGCGAATTATAAAAATGAGACAATTTAAACTGTAGCTACAATTCGTAAGTATGTAAACTATAACTATAAAATATAATTAAATTTATTATAATGATTATTTGTGAAAATTGATCAATTAAATTTAGGGATAATTGTATATAATAGTAAACTAATAATCTAAAATAAATGGAGTAACTACTGTTTGATTTAATTGTGTCTCATAGCAAACGTTTGTCAACATTTGCCTGTCGCCTCTCACCCTAAACTCTCGCTTCCCACTCCCATTCTCGCTCGCCACTCTTCCCCTGCTCGCCTCTCTCGCATTATACAACAGAAGTGTATGAAATTTGTTTCTGTTTTGTATAAAGCGAAAGAAAATTGTATATACACATGCAAAAATATATATCTTCGTGCTACACTTAATTATACAATTTACAAATATTTTACTTCGATTCAATTGTATACAAATGCAAATTTTATACAAATATTGCAGCGAAAAAAGGCCAGCGAATTATACAATTGCAAATTATACAATTGCAATGAAATACAATTTTCTCTCGCTTTATACAACAGAAGTGTATAAACTTTGCGTTTCTGTTTTTGTATAAAGCGAGAGAAAAACATATATTTTCCTATACACTTATAATTATGCAATATACAAACATTTTACTTCGATTCAATATTATACAAAGCAAATTTTATACATATATTGCAGCAAAATAAACCAGCGAATTATACAATTGCGCATTATACAGTTGCAGTGAAATAGACCAGCAAATTATATAATTGCAGCGAAATAGGCCAGCGAATTATACAATTTAGGCGAGCTAATCATACAATTATATATGTATAGCGAGGCTAACAAATTAAACAATTTAGATCAGCGAATCATATAATTGTATATATATAGCGAATTATATAATTATATATTTGTCATGGAACATATAAATTTTGCTATAACATATAAATATAAATTTTTTATTTGTTACGTGAAAGTTGACCTTAAATTTACCTAGCAAAAAGGTACAAAATGAAAATCAGACAAAGAAAGGTCAACGTAAAAAAAAATCAGAATTGAAACTTTTGGTGGAAAATAAAAGGAATTGAGATGAAGAAAACTTAGAACCATTCATGAAATTCGTGGTCCCAACAGCTTATATCTTCACAGAATCCATATTTATATTTATAGGTATGTGGCTATCTTCTTCATCTTTTTTTCTGATTCACTTATTGTTAAACTGAATTCTCATCTTCCTCGTTACATATCTCTTCCTGTGCGGATGAAATCGCTGATAAGGTTAGTTTAAGGTTTATTCTTTTCTAAATAAAATTGAAATTGATTTTGAAAACCTAGTCTGCCAAGTGTGTCTCATCTTCCCCTTCAAGTTCTTTGTTGGTGTGGTCTTTTAACTTTGTATTAAATCAATATCTTAAATTTGCTATTACTTCATGAGTTTAACAATTTTTCAGTGTTAGAATGAATTGTGAGAATCCTTAACAGAAGCTTAAGGTGTAGATGTTGTAGTAGTTCATGCTGGTAACTTTCTGTTGTTGTGTGTAGAGTTGTAGACAGAACCCTTCTTATTGGATTATTCATCAAAGGTGAAAGCAGATAATAGATATGATCATAATGTAAATGAACTAGTTCATAGTGTCAATTTGCATAGATTGTGTATTTTTAGTTACCAATCGATAGTGTTAAGGTTTTGATTTGGGAGAAATATGGGTGTGAAAGTCCAGTCATTTAATGTTGTATTGTCGAGAAGAAACAGATATATTGAAGCCACAAAAGGGATAACATTTGAATTCGTTTTGGTTTCCCTGTTTCACTTACTCAAGGAAACATAGAGTGGTTTTTAAAGATCTTAGAAACTAGATAGTCATCCTTTACAACACTAAACTATTCTGAATTTTGTTCTTTTATCTTTTCTTGTTGCTTCAAGGTGAGTGTATCATGGTTCAACAATGTTAGGGCTTCAAAATCCACAAGCCATTAGCAGCTGTCAGTCATTTCTGGATACTAGTGTGCTACATGAACTCATTCCTTGCAAGAGTAAAAATGTCAATCCTTCGATAAGTAATCTTAGTTCCGCTACCCTTGTGAGGTCTCCTGCTAAAGGAGTCAGCAGTTGTTCTTTTTCTTGGAACTGGCCAAATCAACTGAAAACTTATAAACTCTCTCAGCAGTCCGCTTCATATAGATTGCTGGTAAGTGCTTATTAGAACATTTTATTTCTCTTGACATTTAACATATCCTTATATAGCTCTTGTTTCATGGTTTCTTCAGTGTCGGTCACAAGATGCTACTTCACCTGAAAATGAGTATCGCTCCTCCAGAAATATAGCCATCAGTCTGTTCAGGCGATACAAGAATTTTCTTGAGCGCGGAGGAGGTGACAACTTAAAAGTATTCTCAGTTATTTCTTCCTTCCTCTGTAACTTCTGTTTGTTGCTCTCTTTGTGCATTGTTATGATTCTGATCTTTCAGGAGTTCATCAGTGCCGGTGTGAATGCATATGCTTTGGGATGTACTGATGAAGGATTGAGGAAAGAACTGTTTTCTTTGAAGGAATCAGGTGTTGAAATTGAAGCCATGGAAACATATGGAGGAAGTACCAGCCTGAAATCCAAGATTTTATCTGTGGAGGTGAGTCACTTTCGCATTGCACAATCAGGGATACGTATGGATACAAAATAATTGAATATGGTTTGCAGCTTTGTGGAACCCTGTGGATGCTACTGTTTCTGTATCTAGGATTATACAGTATGTACATAGTCCATAATATAATACTGAGGAAGTTGAATGAAGATTTGTCGCCATTTATTTGCCGTTAAGTTGCCAAATCATTGACTTTCTTCCCACTGACTGGCACCAAGGTGGGGTATCTCAATGATTCTTTGTAGACTGCCTCTTTCCTTAATGTAGTAACAGTGTAACACTAGCATACATTGAAATAAAATGTTCTGCTGCTGTTTGGTTTCAGGTACACTAGTTTATTAGGAGTTGAGGATTTTGATTAGAAGCAATATTTGTTTTCTTGTGAAGTTTCTTTAGGAACTCTTGATATCGACTTTCATTCTGAAAACACTGGCCTAGTCTTTCAGGGATTCCTCCTTAATTTTGGGATGAGAAAAGGTGTCTGGAAAAGAACAAGGGTGCTTATAAATTGTTAAATTTTGTCCATGCTACTGTGTAATGATCTACTGCCAGAATGGTAAGATAGGTGTTAAATTTTTTCTCCAGATGTATGAGTTTCCTCATTTTAAAAAGGATATAAGGTCTATAATCAGTTGATTACATATATCGGATGCAAGTTTCTATAATCATGTGAACCTCCATGGCAACTAAAGATCTGTGATGACAGCTATTTAATGACGACATCTGGTTATGGTGCAGGTTGATGAGTGTATTATGTGGTTGAGCATTATATTCATCACCATCCTATGTACACCTCAACCAACTATAGTTCGATGGTCATCCACATCCCCAGTTTCTGATGAAATGATAGTCCAGTGGAAGGGCTTCTGTGCAATCATAGCAAATGCATACTTTGTGAGAGGAATGGCATGGTAAGATAGCCGGAGGGTATACCATCCTAAATTAGATATTTTGTTGTTAAGAGGAAAATCTGTCATCAACGTTTTTCTTCGAGGAATTTATTGGAAGTTCATTTTTTTGTACCGAGTGTAGTTAATTGTGTATTAACACTCTCTTCTCTGCTCCTGAAGGCTCCCAGTGAAGACTCTCCAACTAGAGCAGATGGCAGTTGCCGGCCATGCTGAAGAGCCATCAGTTGTTGCTAGCCGGATGAGATTAGTTTTTACCACTCTAGAGGTGATTTCAATAGCCAACTTTCTACTTCTAATAATCTTTCCAAAACAATATTAACAGAAATATGCAATTCCTGATTCATGATTCAATTTTCCGGTTTAATAGATCTCAGTGGTTAGGCATGCTTAATTAAGTATAGATAAATTAAAGCATGACACAAACTCTTATCTTCTAGTGTTCATGGTTTGCATCTGTTTTTTGCCTCAGAGAAAAAATTAAGCAAAAATTATCTCATTTTTTGAACTAAAAGCATACCAGGACATAATAAAGATCATCCCTTGTTTTATGATTTGATAAAAAATAGTGACACATCCAACTTTGGTGGACAGAGTTATTGGATACTTGTGCTGGTGAGAGGTAGCAAGTACCCCATGGAATTAGTCAAATTGAGCACAAGCTGATCCAGATACTACGGTTATAAACTAATAATAATAATGACAATTAGTATTAACATAAAAAACTAATTCCTTCAACATCAGAGAATAATGAGGATGTAAATGATATCTCAACTGTTGGACTACTAATCTACAGATGGTGATTATTACTGTATATCCTTCTATAAGATGTTCGTAAAAGGTATGTTAACAAAGAAACTATAAATGATATTTACTACATACAAGGAACTTTTGGTTTCAAAATTCATGTTTTTCAGTAGGCCAAAAAACAAAACTTGGTGTTGGTTTTTGTTCGTAACATGTTCTTTTTTATTCACGGGGTATATTTTTTCCTTAATTATTTTTTTAGGTTGTGAGTCCACAGTGGCCTAGAGGATGAAGCAGTAGATCCAGAATCTGGACTTAACAGATATGTAGTTCAACAAGATATGTACACATTTCTTTCCTTTGTCCATTCTCTGTTAACATTAATATTCTACTACATCAATGTATGTTCAACGTGCAAACTTCCATTAAATCTTCAGAGAGCAAAGAATATAAAAAGGATATATTGAGTGAATCAGTCTGTGCTGCTTTGAACACTGCTCACTGTGAACTTTTGCTGAACATATTGCTATATTTTTATAGTGACAGCTTATATATAAGATCAAACACCATATATCTGAACTCTGATGTTGATCAATAGGCTATTCAACAGGGCGAAACTCCTGGAAATGATCAGTCATGAAAAAATAAATCATGTACTCCCTAACTACTTTGGTTCAATCATACAACCAAAACAAAAGAAGAGAAATGGTAAAAGTTCCTTTAATTGAAATGAATATGCAAAGAAATTGCTCATAGTGGCATTGTACATCATGAATCTTGAGCTTATCCGAATTATTGTCTTTAATAATAGTAGAGCAGGAAATAAAAAACAAATACAATTTGCATGGCAAATGATTGGTTTTGAGCAAAGTGGGGAGTGAGAGAGACTTTAGGGTTGTTTGTCACCATTCTTGCTAGCTTCATCAATTGGACTAGCATTTCCACTTACTGTAGCTGTTCCTATGCCAAAGCCAAATCCCATACCCATACCAAATCCCATTCCAATGCCACCATTATCATCATTACTAAAATTGCCACCATATCCACTGCCTTCTCCTTCACCATAACCAGAACCACTACCATTCTCTTCATTAGTATTTCGACCTCCACCACCTCCACCACCACCACCACCACCAACACCACCTGCTCCAGAACCACTACCATGGCCAGAACCTCCACCAGCGCCATTGCTGCCCCCACCTCCCCCTCCTCCTCCACCACCACCACCATTGCTACCAAAACCTGCACCCATCCCGAAACCACTTCCATGACCATATCCACCGTTGGTTCCACCGCCGCCACCTCCTCCTCCTCCTCCACCACCTCCACCTGCCCTACCAACTCCAGCACCAAAGCCGCTACCATGACCTGATCCTCCTGCAGAACCACCCTCACCACCACCACCACCACCACCTCCTCCACCTCCCCCAGCAAAACCACCACCACCTTTACGTCCACCAAAAGTTCCAAAACCTACACCTGCTCCAAAACCACTACCATGACCATACCCTCCATTTACACCACCACCACCTCCCCCACCAGACCCTCCACCACCTCCACCACCTTCTGTACCAACTCCAGCTCCAGCTCCGAATCCTTCACCATGACCAGAACCGCTAGCTCCATCCCCACCACCACCACCCTGGCCGCCTCCACCTCCACCACCTCCCACACCCACACCTGCCCCTGCACCATGACCCTCTCCATGTCCCGAACCTCCATAACCACTTCCTCCACCCCCACCCCCACCACCTCCTCCTCCTCCTCCTCCACCACGATTATAAAAACTCTTGCAGCCACGCCATCCACCATAGTCACAATAATCATATCCATCCTCGCCGTGTCCCTCCTCCATACATGCCATAACAATGCATAGTACAAGAAGAGCCACACGCAATGAACGACTAGAAATAGCCATGACTCTTCAAATAACAATTAGTGTAAGCTCAGTACTGATGAGTAGTGAGTCCAGTGACCAACTTTTGAGCTTCCACTTCTTGGTTTCTTTTTTGTGCAAATGACTCCTCTATTTATAGCCATATTATTCATGCAATCATTTGAACATATCTCAAATTATTGTAAGTTGAAAGAGCATGTGTTGAAATTATAAAAAGGAAAATGGTCAACAATGAATTGACAGGCTACTAAATTATTTCCAGGAACTTAAAATTATTGATATTTAGTTGGTAAAAAATATTATTTAGTGTCGAGGCGTATTCACAATTGAAAGTTACGTGTTTTTATAACAATTTAAAATAATATAATTAGTTTTACAGTCAAATATTTACTGAGCTTTTTTTATTAATAATACACTCTAAGAAAGTAATTTGTTTTTATATAAATTTTGTATCCGGTCTTAAATTTAAGATATGTAGAATATATCAAAATGTTTCTATTTTTTACGTTCTTAAATATATTACGTGAAATATTAGAATCAAAGAGCTGTCAAAAAAAGACATTCTTTTAAAATGAACTAAAAAGAAATTAAGAGAAACATATTGAAACATAATTATATATAATGTTTGATAAAAATTATTGAGTTCACGTTAATACATTTATTACCCTATACAAATCTAGTATGGATTATGAGTTGTTTGAACTAGAGATACCCCTAACCAAAGGATCATGGTTCGGTCTAATTCCAATTATTTGTAACGACAAGAGAAATCACAAAAGTTGCCAACAAATTAGATATTAATGGAATTTTTAAACATAGTAAAGACAATAGGACTACATGTGATTAAACCTAAGGCTTACACATGTTAATGTTGTACATTATGATAATCGACAATGAAATAGTGGAGTTGGTGCCTATATCTTCACTAAATTAAGGTAATTCTTAACAAAGATTTTGGAATCGTTTTGATCATGATTTCCAGGTGTCATTCTGGTTTATTTATAGCTCTACATACTTTTTCTATTAAATACCAAATAAATGTTATGGAGTTTAGAACCATTGTACTTCTATTGACATAGGAAAAGAGTAAGAGCAAGTAGAAGAATTTCTTTATCTTTTTACGTAAGATACTAATTTTAGGACTAGACTAATACAGATTCTTCCAGCGTATTAAAAGAAGAAACGTTTTCTATCAAGAATTATTTTTGATTTTTAAAAATATAAATTTGAAATATGTGATTAAAAATTATTTATTGTTTTTCCAATTTTGAGAAATTGTTTGTTTATGCAGCCCATGTGAGTGTACTATTTATGATTGGAGATAAATAAAATAATTGGCAAAACGATATGAATAAAGAAAGAAATAATTTGGTGATATTATTGGTATAGTGGCATTCCATTGGATATATACTTGAAGTGCACTTGTGGCAAGGAACAAAAATGGAGCTGGTATTTGCACCCATATTGTCACTCATGGTCCAAACATTATCAGAAAGTCAACATTCCTTTCGTTTACTTATAATTATATATAAATTATAATATATTCCAGCTTTTGATCCCAAATTCCCTAAGGACCACTTGAATTTAAATTATAATATATTCCAGCTTTTGATCCCAAATTCCCTAAGGACCACTTTAATTTAACTTTTGGTCAATGAGAGGATACATTTTCGACTAATTTCATCTAACTAGACATTCTACTTCGATCAGAATTTAATTACAACAACAAAAATATTTAAGTTATATACATCAACATCGCAGATACCTTCCAAATGAAAATAGTATACCACTTCCATTAGATTTCATCTTTTGAAAAACAAATAGAGGACGTTTGTGGCGTATATAGATTAGTTTGATTTGAGTTTTTATTTAAAAAGAATTAAATTAATTATGCGGGTTTATTGAATCGATAAATTAAATCGAATCTATACAGAGTTGGTTTTATTTTTAAATTTTAGTCGGTTCTTTTGAGTTTTTTTTTTTTAATTATATGTTATAAGTAGTGATTCAAAAAGAAATCAAATAGATATACTTTTTACTTATATGTGTGATATGTTAGAACTTACAACGTTAATGATTAGAAATCTTGATAAAGATTAAAAAAAGTCACATGAATACAAAATACTTTCGGTATGTTATATTTATAAGATTAAATGTTGCAATCAAACTAAATACAAAATAAAATATTTTTAAAAAATGACAAGTCAAAATTTAAAATGATATATCTAACTATTAAATTTATAAATATATTACGTCAGTTTGGTTTAGGATCGATTTGATTTTTTTAATAATTCCAAACCAAACCAAGAGTGATGACACCAGGCAAACTCATATGTCAAAGTCGATATTCCTTTTACCCTATATAGATCGCTTGCTAAAATATGTAGTTAGTAAATAATACTTCTCCCTATTGAATTTTCACGTTAAATTATATCAAGTAGTAATTACTATGAAAGTAGTTTAATGAAGTTTATATCTTAAGAAACATGGTTAGGAGAAAGAATGCATCCATTAGTTGGTTGATAAATTCACTAACTTTTTACTCATACGTGATGATTAGTGATAAATATATTCCGTTTTACTTTCAAAACTCAGAACTCCCAAATTCTTTTGGATTTGCTTATTTGCGTTGTACAATATAAGTTTACTATAAAATAGGAATATTTGATTTGTTAAGAATAACCCAAAAAAAAGAAAAAGAAAAAGGAACATCCCAAATGGAGTGTCTATGTTGTGCATCTTCTTTTTCCATCATGAACTCATAAAGATAGAATACGATAAAGCAATTTAGAAAAAGTATACATAATATAATTCCATTTTCATGTTCATCATTCTCTTGCACATTTTTTTTTTAATTTTTAATTTTTTTAGATTTGAGAATGCTCTACTTTGTCTTTTTCCATGCACCAAATATTCAAGCTTCTTCTTAAATCTTTTAAATGTAATACAATTGTACAAACTACTCCACTTGATCTATACTATATATAGGTAGTATAATATATATATATATCTTCAACTTCAGTTTTAAGTTTTAAATTTATATAGTGCCCTCTAGATGGATATTCTAGATGTTTTCCCATACCAAATATGCATTTGATATTCCAAGTGTCTAATTACGTATCATAATATAACTTAAATTAACAAAAATAAAAGCATTAACCCTAGCTGTCCGCTGTAGTTGTCTTTAATTAATCTATGCTAAATTAGCTCAAAAATATAGTATACATTAGGAAATTTATAATAAATGGCATTATATATGTACCCGAACAATTGAAAAAACAAAGGATTTCCATCTTTAATCGATAATATAGTTTTCATTTCTTTAATCACTATTGGTATAGTTTAAAACATTATATAGCAGAGTTATTTTTTTAGTAACAAATATCATTTATTATGAGCGATTATATATAGTAAACTTTTAATGATATTAAAGAATTTTCTTTTACATCATTTTCTTTCTTTACTGTATAAAAGCTAACTAAATTGATAACAGAAGGTACATAATTAATACGCTCAGACATGTTTGGCTGTAGAACGGCGTTCAAATAATAAACAAATGGACCATTTTGTTTTTCTTAATCATTGTTTCTTTTGGAAAAATGATAATTGTTGTGGATTAGTAATAAATTAGTACTTTAATCAAACAATATCTCCGTTATAAGACCTGCTTATGTATAGGTTATAAATGTTCAATCTAAAAAACAGTTAATAATTTATTGTTTTTAACTTCTTTTCGAATTACCGTAGGACCCTCTTCTTTTTTTGTTATTTTAATTTATTTCTTTGATTAGAATTCTTGTAAAACTGGTCCCCGACTTGTATAAATCGGTCAAATTAGATGTGAATAAATTCTTGAGATTATACTAGTCAGACACTAATAATTCTTGAGTTTTTGGAAATGTAGGAGATCACGATAGAAATTCTTTGATCTTGTAGTCTTTTATAAATTTAATTTCAATTTTATGTTATTTATCAAGAAAAAATTATTTTTTAGATAACAAGTCTTAAAAATAATACAGAAAAATGTTTGTGAAGTCATATTGATCTATTGAAATTATAAAAATCGAGGATCCAAATTGATTCATTTCCACGATAGTTTATGTGAGGGGAGCGTGTCTCTTTTTGTTTTTGCTGGTACGTCTCCATTTTGAGAAAACACTCTCTATCGAAGTTTTTCTTATACTTAAAGTTCAAACTCGATCCATGGGTGTTGTCTCATTTTCAAATGCGTCATCAGCCTATTTGGGAACGCAAGGCCCATTTGTTAGCTCTTTAGGATCATGAATCTACCAAAGTTGGTTTTGATGTTGGAATTTGGACTTTGGAGGGTCAATGTTTTCGTTGTGCTCACCTCAACAAAAGCCTGTGTAGTGTAGCCTTTGTAAATGGTCCCCCTTTCTATTTTCTCAAATTTCTATTCAAATTTGAGACACTTCACATTTATGTAAGATGTTCATATATATAACAACAAACAAACATGAATTAAACTGTAACACATTTTCATTAATTGAACATTTAAGAATATCTCACTTATGAATTTTCTTGTTATAGCTAGCATTTGAATAACATAAAGTATTGAGAAAAACAAAGAGCATAAATAGTTCTCCTAGGTGCAATTTGAGTCACTACTATTATTTGTTCTAGTTCATAGAAACTAAACATAAATAATATATTTTCTTTGAACGAATTCATACTACTAGATGCTATGATTTAGCAATCTTTTATTAATAATTAGTGAGTTTAAGTTCAATGGTGGTGCATATCATTTTTAATTGTTGCATCACCTCCCTCACCTAGGTCACCTGTATCAAGTTCACCTTCAATTTTATCATTAGGATTATTGCCACCATTATTTCCAAACCCTTCATTAATACCAGAACCAAATCCACTTCCACTTCCACTTCCACTTCCACTTCTAGCACTACTTGTTCCACCATTTCCGGCGAAAGGACCAAAACCACTTCCAAAAGCACCTCCAATACTACCACCAAATCCACCAAAGCCGGCTCCTAAACCAAATGGAGGCCTAATTGCACCTCTAACACCACCAAAACCACCAAAAAAAGGCGATAAAGGGTGCTGGAAATATTCATTCTGTTCATCAGCTGATGCTTTTGGTTTTTCCTTCATTGCCATTAGGCTCCTCGCATTTATAGGGTAAGTAAGAACACTAGTGATAATAAGAATAACAACAAGAATCGTGGTTGCCATTTTGCCTAGTAGAAGAAAAGAGTAATTAATATTGTATGATGTTTTGAGTGTGAGAATATTTGGATTTGCAAGCTCAAGTTATATAGGTGTCCAAAAATTGGTACAATAATGAAGAATTTGAAAGGTAGAAATATCACTAGCTCATACATATTGTGTGTAACATAGTCATCATGTACTATATAGAGAGGGAAAAAAGAAAAAGAAGCCAACTACATCTTTCCATAGACATACTTTAATTAACACCTTCTCGACTACATGATCAACCTAAGTCTTAACACACATCAAACAACTCAAATTGCATAACTTATATTATAAGATTCAATATAATTAATTTATAATAAGATCTTATCATTTTTAACTTTAACAACTTCTTACTGTTTTCATACTCTATCCAGTAACTTAAATTTCTAGATGAAATAGTTACACACAATTTAGTTAATTAACATGTTATAGATCAGAACGAATGAGGTCCTAATTAAGTCTAACTCTTACCATCACTATTCATTATCAAAAATATTTTTCATATGCTTGGTTGAGAATAGAAACATTAATATTCAAGCCCACACACGAAGGAGAGGTGTCGTAAGTATAAAATTAAAAACATAAAATCAGCTTACTCTTTCTCTGATTTTATAACCTTTTTAAACTTTTAGATAATTAAGTCGATTAACATATGTACGTTTCAGTTGAAACTAAACACTTAATACATTATAAAGTATCACTGCACCTTTACCAATCTCAGGTGAATTATAAAACTAATTAAGTTGCAAAGTGTTAATTAACCTGGCTAAGCTAGGTTAGTTTAAACAGAAACAAGAAGGTTACTTCCTTGTATTAGCATATATTTAATAAGGATTACCTGAAAGAGTTTTTTTTTCCCTTAAGGAAATTATAGAGACCAAATGATTTTAACCAAGGGTGAGGTCAAGCGAGATATCTGAACTGAGAGATAGCTAGCTCCAAGGACATAGTGCACTCTTATTTAGCAAATTGCTAATACCATATGCTCGCACGATTTTATTATCATCATCTCCATCCTGCCCAAACAAAAATAAAAAATTCTCATTTGTAACTATATATGTCAAGTAAAGAAAGTTAATTAATAAAAAGTTAATTAAGGATTTCGTTAATTACTCGAATAGTAATGGTTCCATCGATGAAATCCCTAAACATGTAGCATTGTCCTTCCAATCTCATCTTTTTCTCTGGCATAGGTTTCCTGGAAGGGGTAAACATGTAATTTCATATATCATCGTTGAAATTCAATATTAGCTCTGGAGTTCCATTTTAATAGGAACAAGGAAGTGAAGAAAAATCAGACGACCCATGGATGAGGAAAAACAGTAGAGTTGGAAGCAATTTTGTCCAAATAGTTAGTTGTCTAAGTTGGATTAAGATGACCATCAAACATGGATTCGTCATTGTTATGATTGTAACGATGAACAAGGTTTTCCTGCGGAAATTCATTTGATTGGAACCATCAGACATGACGGCTTTGTCATTATTATGATTGTAACAATGAACAAGGTTTCCTTGAGGAAAATTCTTTTGCTTTGAACCATCAAACACAACGGCTTTGCCATTGATATGATTGTAACGATAAACAAGGTTTCCCTGAGGAAAATTCATTGAATTTGGACCATCAATTCCGTTCCTCTTCCTCCCATTTGCAACTTCTGCTTTAGTTAATTAAAAATAAAAAAAGATCAAACGAGTTATGGTAGACGTATTTAATTAACTCAATGGTGTTACATACTTATATGTGACAAAATAAATTTTTATCACCCTAACAATAAATCTAGCCTTATTACAACAAGTTCAAAGTCCTTTTCAAATTTGATATGGAATCAGGCAAAACTCAAAGAGGGTAAAATGAAACATAAGAAAAAAAAATTGAAATGGAACTTCAAATAATATTGCGGTTGAGAAAAAATATTCTAAATTTAATTTATGCACCTGAATCACTCCTTTAATTATATATATAACTAGTACATACAAAGTCCTTTTCAAATTAGTGTGCGTGTATATATATAAATAGGTTAACTCCACCAAGACGCTCAAAAGCACGGACAAACTAGCGATGAAGATCATGTGTCCATCAGAGTCTTGGCATTCTGGATTTTAGGTATGGTCTTATAGAAAACTCTGATGATTTATCGCTACTGCTTTTTCCTAGCTTCATGGATAAAGTCAGAGAATTTCTAGCCCTTTCATCATTTTGTGAAAACATGAGAGGTTGGGAAGATAACTAATTAATCTTGAATGAAGAGAGAAAGGAGTTATAAGTCTTATGTTTTTAAGTATAAAAAATAAATAAAAAGGGAGTAATAAGTATAAGGGAGATAGCTAGCTAGTCACTGTTATCACCATTTTGTCTACTTGTGTTAAGGCATTTAAATTTACAACTAGGATTTTCTTACGTAAAAATTTTCCATGTCTTATGAATTTTGATAATGAAGATGATTTTTTTAAAATTTTTTTGTTCAACTTTGCACTCATAATTAGATGACTCGAAAAAAGAGAGGAAGAAAATGAATAAGGAATTAGAATATTATTAAAAAAGATTCTGAAACTTATATTCTTTGTTTGAAGTCGATATGGAAACATTCTTGTGTGCCCTTACATGAGATCTTTTCTTATAAGGGCTACCTCAACCTCAACAACGCCCCCCCCCCCTCCTTAAAGTCACCTTTTAAGTTTTTTTTTAACCATAAAAAATGGTCTAAAGATACCATTAATAGTGTTTGAACATAGATGTAATCATCAATGTGAAGATTAGCTAAAATATAAAATTAGTGTGTGAAAATCTCTTTTGGCATCTGGTGAAGTCAGTTACAAATAATTAACACAAGCGTGTACTATATGACTTATACAAGTCTTTTTACTAGTAGTTAAGAACTTTATTAAATGAGGGGAAAATATTATGAAAAAAGCTCAATAATTTTTTTAAACTTTGAATTATTCATTTATTTTAAACTATGAAAAAAAGATTCAACTATTCACTTATAAAAAATAGAAGGAATATAAATAAGCTTCTATGATCTTGAATTCAAAGCAGGATTTATGGTGTAAGGTGCAGATTTTTGGAAATTCGATAATTTTTATACATAGATTCCGTATTTATATTGATAAATTTATTAAATATCTGTTAGTGTATAATTTGTCTATATAACCATTTATAATCTATGAATATAAACTCAAAAAAGAAAACAGTGAACTGATCAGCGAACTATATAGCGCTAAGAGCTCAAATATATTTGGTAGGAATCTAGTAACAAAATTAATTTTTTGTTCATGTGATATAAATAAAATTAAACTATCCTCCTTGATAACGGTTTGAATCTCTCGGGCATATAATATTACTTCTCCATTTTATTTTTTATCTCTTAAGAATTTTATATATATATATATATATATATATATATATATAT